GACTTTTTGAATCTTACTCCTTGAAATTTCCTTTGAAGGATTTCGCCCGTAAACTTCAACGAGATATCAAACGTATCAGCGAGAACAGATTGGCAATAAGCGAAGCACTTAGTGGAGGAAAACTAAAGGTTGCTTTGCCTCTTTTCATTGGCCTTCATTAGCATAATTATCATTCTCCCAATTCACTTCCGACCTTTTCCTTCAATCAATAATCCTTGATATGTTAGCACTTAACTGAGCGAAAACCATATTTTTGCAGCCTAAGCCGATCGATGTCCAAGTGATTTCGCATGAAATGCAACGATATGCTGTCTGGTTTGGAGGGTCAATGCTGGCTTCAACGGTACAATGGCTACTTTTCCATCATTGTTCATTTATTTGTTTATTTTCAGCCAGCGTTTTACAAAGTTTCACACACAAAAGAAGAATATATGGAAAGAGGTCCCTCAATTTGTCGGCACGATCCTGTTTTCGGAGCACTCACTTAATCATGATAAATATATATCTTTTTTTTTCAATTGCTATGTGAACTGCTTTTTGCTTGCATATCGAGTTGTTATTTATTTCCTTACCTTTTTGCTTTACAGCTACGTCAAGCGTCTTTATTTAGTCTAACTTGGTCGTTATTTATTATTATCAACGTTACTTACGACCTTCGCTCATGGTTGCTAAATTAAAGGCTTGTCGACAATTTCTTGGATTTACCACGTACGTCCACTCGACGTATTTTACATGTGTAATACATGTGAATAGTCTACTAAGCGATGCCTTTCTAAAGCAGTTATGCAATCTCTTTACCTTCACTTGTATAATTTTAGGAATTTGTGATAAAGTTCTTGTAATCTATATTTCTAATTTTTTGTATAATTCATACTCGATCACCTATTACTTGTAACGTTTGTCTGAAAAAAAAAGGAATAGAAAAGGGGAACCTAGAGATTAATTTGGGATGCAGGTACGCACATGGGCAGTCATCTGGCATTACCTGAAAGTTCATACCTTTTGATTTTTCAGTATATTCAAAAGTGGTCAGCGCTTTGTCATGGAACCATAATCGTTCCTCAAGTCTTCTGTAATGATTAGAGGTTTTATTTGTACTGCTGCTATTAGTTGTTGGAATGTTGGACCGTAACTTGATTGGCTGACCTGATCTTTACCATCTGAACATTGAGGAAACAATTTTATTGAAGATTTGCTTGACGGTGTGCTATTCCACTCAAGGGTTATAGCAGAGTCTGTCTTGATTTGGTTCACATAGTATCTAGTTTCAGATGGATCTCCCAATAATAAATTATGCCAAAGAAGAATATGTAGAGACTAATTCTGGAAATAAAATTTGTAAGGTTCACTCAACAAAGGACAGTACTATTTGTGGAACACAAAATATAGTTCTCAACGGGAAGGTTTGTTACATTTTTTTTGTCAAGGATTTTCGTACCGTAATTTCATATCGCAGGAGCCCTCGTACTGTGGAGTCTTAGGATTAAAATAATTGCAACATACCCATTTAGAACATTGTTCAAAAAGATGTGGTCGTTCACGGCGATCTAGCTGCGATACGAAGTGGTCGTTTCTGTATAATCCGCGAAGGAACAATCATACGACCAAGCTCGAAGAAGTTCAGTAAAGGAGTGACACTATTTCCAGTCCACATCGGCGACCATGTTATGATTGAGGA